TTGAGGCACATCAGCTTGGTGCTACATGAGAAACATGCACAGCTACTTCTTTTCTGTAAACGGTGAATTTTCAGAGTTTTGTGCTGATAATTTGAAAAGTAGAACTGGAAAATCAAGAAAATATTTTATCTGCAGTCAAGAAAGCCACGACACTCTTATACTAAGGCAAATGCAACTTTGTAGATAATGTCAAATGTTTTGAAATTTAAAGATGCTTTAAAATACGTTTTCATGTTTTGCATAGGGAAGAGATAGCCCAGATTCTAACGCGAATTAAATCCTTTCTTGGTCTTTTTTTATTGTTGTTGTTTCCACGTTAAACGGCTTAGCCAACAGTGTTTCCATTTCTCTTTAGAGATCATTCAGTGACTCGATACATTTTCCTGACAAAAGCATCTCCGTTTTAATTTTATTCCATCACCCTCAGACAACTTCTAAACTCTCCCCCTCCTCAGACCCTTTCCCATCACATTTTCCTCCCGGCTAAGATAGGAACAGAAGCCTCAGCAACATTCAGGCAATGGCAGCTTGCCAGGGGAGCCTTTTATGCACAGCCTTGTCAGAAGCAGGGATTGTCACAGTGGGCTCTGAACTATTTGTACTCGAATCCACAACAATATTTCAAATTACTTCACTGGAGAGAGCTTTGCATTGCCAGTTATTTTTCCCCCTGTTTTAAGTAATACATATTATATTTAAAACCTCTTTCTATTTAGCAAATAGGAAGAAATTCAGTGCTGGAAGTAGCTAAATTCAGCGAAACCTAATGCATGGAAACACCACTGGAGTTAAGCATCTATTTAAGCACTACAGGGAGGCAAAAGCTTGATTATATAACCTTAAACAATATTAAAAAAAACACTTCATTGTGTCATTCTGAGGCATGTCAAAGAACAGCTTAAAGTCAGAGGCTTCTGTAATTCAGGGAGACGGATGCATACCTCCATTCTCTTTGTAATGTATAATATTGGTTAACAATGCACTGAGAAGGAAGCAAAGGCACTTCTCAAAACAGAAAGCATGGGAAAGGGATCAAAGATGTCATTACACTTTAACTTGCTGAAAGTGCTAAAAATGCATGCTGGAGCAGCAAGGGATTGCATAGCTGTGATGCTATTCTGGGATTGGACAACAAAAGCAGCTAAGGTGATAATAGAAGAAATAATTAAAGATTTTAACCTATTGGTCAATGAAACCAGGCATTTCCTCATCTTATTTTTCTGAACACTGATCGTATTTTTGCAGGATAAAAGTGTCAATGGAAAAGCAAGCCGGTGCTGTGTCTGCAAACCGGAGTAATGAGCAACATCTCTGTCACTGTGCAGTCATCCCTGAAATTTTGGGAAAAGGATGTACTTTTTAAGAGGATTCTCTCAACATGACCAGATACCAAGCATACAGACTGCCTGCTGCTGCTGGGCTGGGCATGCACATAGGAAGAATAAAAAATGTCTTGTATTCTCTAGCTCTATGCTGATATAAATGATGATCATATCAGTGAAAATAATGTATATACAAAAGTCCTTTATGGTGATATTGAAAAAAAAAAGAACAAGGCGAAATGGGAATATAGCTTACTGTACACATATTAAATATTCAACTGACAGTGCCTGTTTAGCTAATGTCTGTATTTTCAAAGGCTTTTCTCTCTGAATACTCATATCAATATATTGTACAACCAAGGCAGTGGATTGAGGAAACAAGGACTGTAAATTAAGGTTAGCATCACCAACTAAAAATGAATGCCTCCAAATGGGCAGATGGACAGGAATTTGTTAGGTTGCTGCTTTGTGAATTTCTGCCAGAGCTAGAGATGGCTCTGCTAGCATGTGCTGCCCACAGAGCAGCACAGGAGGTTGTAATCATCTGCTTTGGCTGGAGGAACTTTTCAGAAATTGCAGCAACTGCTTATAATTAAGAAAGCTGCTTCCCATGAAGAGAGGAATAGCAGTAATCCAGAAGGCACAGTTTTTAACTTAGTATAGGTCATTTGGAAAGCTATGCCAGTGCATAAATAATATTGTTTGGGCCGACCTTCTCTGACACAGATTGTACCCCTGCATAAAAGTTGAGTGGCACAAAGCCAATCGTCCTGTTTTCTCATAGTGCAGACTTGATACAAAACTTGCAAGAACCAGCATTCTTTGAATCAGCCGTGATTTCTATGAAATAAAAGATCCCAGAAAAAACAGGGACAACACAATGGGAGTTCGCCTGATGATCCTCAAAGATTTTCACTAACTTTCATTTGCAAAAAGTTAACCACCATGATGGAGCCAGAATGCAGCATTATTTAGAGTCACAGTTAAGCTGCACATTGGTCACCAGCACTGCATATTTCAAAATGCATTTGCAGAGGTCATCTCATGTAGTGTACAGTGTTATTCCCCACCTTTGCCTTTCAATCCTCCAGAACTATAGGCAAGCCCTGAACATGAGCACTGCTTTTTTCATCCTGTCATTGCAAATATCATCATGTTTCAGCAGGGACGCAGATACAAATATATACAGACATCCATGGGATTAAACTGACATATTTTTAGTTCTGACAGTTATCCCAACAACAACATGGCCATATGACTTGCAACAGACCACGTAACAGAAATTCATTAAAGGATATTAGACTTCAAATACTGTCTTACAAATAAACTTTTAAATTTGGGTAACAGAAAACCTGTGTAACACCACAATCATATTTGAATGCTATTAGAAAATAAAGGCATAATAAACTGCAGCCTGTGAAAGAGACATCCCATAAATTCCAGGAGCACATTAAGAGATTATTTTGCAACCACTACAATGCTACATAAAATGGTAGAATTCATCTGACCTTAGCAGTGGTGAGATAAAACAATTAAAAATCCACATGAACACATATGAACAGACAGAATTCCTTTAATAATTTATCTGGATGATACAGATTACCTGCATAACACTATTAATACAGTACATGATCTCTACTCAATGTAAATAGTATACAGATAAGGTTGGAAATACATTGTGAACAACATTTGAATAACAATAAACATTTGAATACAATAACAGCTGTAACATTCTTGTATGGTGATACTACGATCAGAAGTTGTCATTGGGAAATATATACCACGGTTAATTTATTTTTAATACCACTGTAGTCTTCTGGTTTGGCTTTTCAGACTCTTAAGAATTTCTGCACGCTATTCCCTTGTTTGATGGATCAACATTGAAGGGAAAAAGGGCCTTCAATCCTGGGCAAAATATACAAGCACTGCCATTACTAGTTAAGGGAGAAGAGGTATTTTCTCATACTGAAGCAGGTTTTAAAAGTGTTTTAAATTAGGAAGCTTCAAGCTAATATTACACATTCATGCTGCTAAACCACTACAGTGATTGAAAATGATCCTGCTCTCTTGTGCATTTCCCTACATCAGCATGAGCATTTATGCAATCTGCAAAGCAAATCAAACAACAAATTAACCTGAATTAAAACTAATCTATCCGAGATAAATTTGTGTATTTAAGAAGCAAAAAAAGCTATTTCTGATCTGATTAATTCCCTTAAACAGTTCGCTGGATATGAATGTTGATGATTGTCTAGACAATGAGAGCAATTAGGTACAGCTAAACACATCTTCAGCCTCAGCTGAAACTACTCAAAAAGAATGAATAGAGCTAAATGGCAGAGCCAAAATTCTGGTAAAGAATTAACATCACATAAACTCATGCTATTTATATTAATACAAATAAGATATACTTTGAGATTTGCAGTTTGGAGGGCACTTGTTAATAAGGCTTTCTTATCTAACAGACAATTCTCCTACCCACACCAAATAAAAAAAAGCTGGAAGAGTTTTAAGCCTATCCAAAAGGAACCAAATGATTTAAAAAAAAAAAAAACAAAAAACTTCGTAAATTGGTTTGAAATATTTTGCCTATTTCATTTCTTCAGCTTAAGCTTCCAAAATCCCACCACATTTATCTGTCAGAATTCCGTGTGTCTTCAAAACTCTATATAGAGATGTTCATAGCAAAGGAGAACTACTGCACTTGAACAACTCTTGCTTGACATCATTTATGCATTTCAGAATGGCTGTGCTTTCTCTTGCTATGAGCAAAACATATTTCATGACTGAGCCTTTCCTCTAACTATTCAGGTTTCTACTCTTTTTTCTTCTAAACTCAATTCTGTCTTTGCCTATGAGAGAGATAAAGTCTTCAGAGCAGGTACGCTCCTTGTTTCGATTACTTTTCAAGACTCGTGATGCTCTTGGTTTGTCTCAATATCCATTCAGTCCGTGCTAATGCCTTCCTGAAGAGCCAAACAGAATACACAAGAGAAAAAGGTTATGGCTTTATTCTGTAACTGAGGCTAAATACACTCAGTATCACACAGATGTTATTTAAATGGGGTGTACAATTCATACTATCACTTTGGAGATCTTAACAGTTTGTTTGTGTCTACGAGGTAAACTTCATGGTGCAACACTTCTCAGTGCACAACTCTCTACCATGAAATAAAGGATTTTAGCTCTTTGTTCTTCTGCTTCATGTACTTTCTCCTTTGGCCCAGGCACTGTCACAACGGAAACTGTGGAGATTCGGATTCCTGGCACTTATAATTGGAACACTAATGAATTATTTATTAATGGCTTATTTCCTCCCTGCATAAAGCCAGCCTCACAAACCCTGAAGAGAAAAGGCGGGAAACGCTACGCCCCCGCCCCCAACTCTCAGCTCTGCGCATGCGCCACGCTCCCTGTTGCTGCCTCACTGCGCAGGCGCGCCACCCTCCCGCGCTCTCCCAACGACGGGAGGCCAGAGGGGCTCGCGAGCAGCCCGCATGCGCACCGCTCATCCGAGTTCCTCAAGGCGCATGCGCACTGCGAGCGGCCGGGCCCAGTGCACTGTGGGAAGGAGGCGGCCCTTGTTCCCGGCGGAGGGTGGCCGTGAATCCTCCCGGCCGCTCACAGCAGTGTGGAGCCGCTTCCCCCCCCCCACCCCTCCTCCCTCCCTCCCCCCCCGGCCTCCTCCTCCTCCTCCTCCACCCCACATCCCCCCCCCTGCGGCCCGGCGGATTTAAAGGGGCAGCCCCACCGATCCGGGGGGCCATGCCGAACTTCTGCGCGGCCCCCAACTGCACCCGCAAGAGCACGCAGTCCGACCTGGCCTTCTTCCGCTTTCCCCGGGACCCGGTCAGGTGAGAGCCCAGATCGGGAAAGACAACCGGAGAATGGCGGGGAGGAGTGAGCGGGCACTGGGCCTCGCTTCTCCCCTCAGATCCCGGCCTGACACCCCGGCTGGGAGGCGGCTCGCTCCCTCCCTCCTCCTTTTTTCCGTGCTCCTCCTCACCTAGGCGGGAAGACTCCGCTGACAGGAGCCGCCCGCTTCTCCTCCTGGCGGCGGCCGCCCGCTCTGTGGTGCCCGAGGGGCGGGGCTCTGCGGGACCCTCCGGCCCGCGGCGGGAGGCGGGAGCGCTGCTGCGCATGCGTCGAGGCGGCCGTTCGCTGCTCGCGCTGCACCCCTGTATCTGGGGGTTGTGTTTGTGAGGAGTGGGGGGAGGTTGGATGTAAGAGACTGTGAGGGAGGGCGTGCCTGGCTCTGAAAGGCCGTGAGGGACTGTGAGAGGGTGTGAGGGAGTGCAGGGTTGCTTGGCTCTGAGGATGCCTTGCTTTGACAGGTGTCTCGTGCTCATCAGTAGCCCTTTCTATGCCATGTGGTGCTTAGAGAGGTTTTGGAGTGTCCTCCCTGAAAACCCCTCTGGATGCCATGCTGTGGGGGGGGCTCTGCTGGGGCAGGGTTGGGTTAGGCGGACCTTGGGGTGTCTCCAGTCTCAGTCATTTGGTAAATGGCCAAATGGCTCAGTGCCCAGACAGTTGGATGGATAAAGAATTGGTTGGATGGTCACAATCAGCCCTAAAGAGAAGGACCTGGGGGTCCTGACGGATGAAGAGCTTCACGTGAGCCAGCAGTGTGCTCTTACAGCTCAGAAAGCAAATGGTATCCTGGGCTCCATCAGAAAAGGGGTGGCTAGCAGGGACAGGGAGGTGATTGTCTCCCTATACTCTGTTCTTGTGAGGCCCCATCTCGAGTACTGTGCCCAGGTCTGGAGCCCCCACTACAAGAAAGACAGAGAGCTGTTGGAGAGGGTCCAAAGAAGAACCACAGAGATGATCAGGGGACTGATCAAAAGACAGGCTGAGGGAGCTGGGCTTGTTCAGCCTGGAGAAAAGAAGGCTGCGGGGTGACCTCACTGCAGTCTTTCAGTACCTAAAGGGAGGTGCTGCAAACAGGAGGGGAATCAATTCTTTGAAAGGGTAGATAACAGCAGGACAAGGGGAAATGGTCTTAAGTTGAGGGAGGGAAGATTTAGGTTGGATGTCAGGGGGAAGTTGTTTACTGTGAGACTGGTGAGGTGCTGGAACAGCTGCCAAGAGAGGCTGTGGATGCCCCATCCATCCCTGGAGGTGTTCAAAACCAGGTTGGATGGGGCCCTGGGCAGCTCCAGGAGGAGGCTGGTGGCCCTGTATGTGGCAGGGGGGTTGGAGATTCTTGATCGGTGAGGTCCCTTCCAACTTGGGTCATTGATTCTGTGATTCTGTGAATCAAAAGGTTGTGAATGGCTCTATGTTCCGGTTGAGGTTGGTGTCTTCCAAGGGTCTGACTTGGGACCAGTGTCAGTCAACATCTTTGTCAGTGACATAGATGATGAGTTTGAGTGCACCCTCAGGAAGTTTGCTGATGACACCAAGCTGAGTGATGCAGTTGACACAACAGAAGGAAGGGACCTGGATGGACGTAAAAAGTAGGTCCACATGAACCAAGTGATGTTCAGCGATGCGAACTGCAAGCTGTTGCACTTGAGTCTGGGCAATCCTGTATATGCATACAGGCTGGGAGAAGAACTCATTGAGAGCACCACTGCAGAGGAAATAGGGATCCATGACGTCATCCATGAGGCAGCAGTGTACTCTTGTGGCTAAGAGGGCTAGCAGTACCCAGGGTCACATTAAACAGAGTGTGGTTTGCAGCCCAGAAGGTCAGCCATAACCAGGGCTGCGTCAAAAGAGGGCTGGAAGCAGAGCAAGGGAGGTTATTGTCTCTCTAGTCTGCCCTCGTGAGGCCCCATCTGGAGTACTGCATCCAGAGACTTGCAACCTTTGTGACAAGCAGCTGTCAGTGAGTTGGTGGTCAGTGGTAGAGCATCCTAAGCAACAGCAGAAGTGATGAGGTATTCAAGTTCCAAATTCCAAGCAGAATCTGTGTGCTGGTAAAGCAACAATTGCATGAGTTGATTTAGGCCATGGAAAATGCAGTGAGAAATAAGATGTATTTAGATGTAAAAATCAACCTGTCAGTTTTCACCCCTGTGCCAGTGTAGATCATGGAGCAGATTCTCCTGGAAGCTGTGCTAATGCATGTGGAAGGCTGGGAGGTGATACAGGATAACAAGCTTGGCTTCTCCAAGGGCAGATCCTGCCTAACCAACCTAGCAGCCTTTTGTGATGGCCTAGCTGTGATGATGGACAAGGGAAGAGCCACTGATGTAATCTGTCTGGACTTCAGTAGGGCCTTTGACACAGTCCCCCATAACATTCTTCTCTCTAAGTTGGAAAGATACGGATCTGATACATGGACTGTTTGATGGACAAGGAACTAGTTGCAAGATCAGTGGTGGCCAGTGGTTTAAAATGGTGATGAGAACCAGTGCTTTTTAACATCTCTATTGGTGACATCAGGTGCACCCTCAGCAGTTGGCGGATGATATCAAGCTATGTGGTGCAGTCAACATGTCTGAGGGATGGGATGCCATCCAGAGAGATCTGGACAGGCTGAGCAGTGAGCCCAGGAGAACCTCATGAGGTTCACTAAGTCCAATTGTAAGTCTGCATGTGGTTCGTGGCAACCCTTGCTATCTGTACAAGCTGGGCAGTGTAAGGATGGAGCACAGCCTGTAAGGGATACTGGTGGATGGCAGCTGGACATGAGCCAGTGTGTCCTCACAACCCAGAAAGCCTACTGTATCCTGGGTTGCATCTAAAGCAGTGTTTGCAGGGCAAGGGGGTGATCTGTGCCTTTGCTCTGTGCTGTGAGACCTCACCTGGAGTACTGCAACCTGATGTGGAGTGCAGGAAAGACATGTAGCTGGTAGAGCATATCCAGAGGAGGGCCACAAAAATGATCCAAGGGATGGAATACCTCTTCTATGAGGACAGGCTGAGAGAAGAGAAGGCTCCAGGGAGAGCAGCCTGTCACAGTATCTAAAGGGGGGCTGTAAGAAAGAAGGGAACAGGTTCTTTCACGGGAATAGGACAAAGGGAAATGGTTTTGTATTAAAGAAGGGCAGATTAAGATTGGATATAAGGAAGAAGTATTTTCTGCAGAATTGGGTTTTGGTCCTCTCTGAGCTTCAGGCATAATTTGTAAGGAACCCTTGCTGGAAAATCTGAATGTTATCAAGTTGCGCAAAACTGGTCAATACATGATAGTTTATTGTGTAAAGAAAATACCTTCTTCAGTTCATAACTTCTCTACTGAAAGGAACTTTGGTTTAGTGTTTGCCGTTGTAGCATGTCGGAAAAAAGCCCAGAAATGTGCAGTTAATGGAACTATAAACTAAAGCTGAAATACTTTAAACTAAACTTAAATACTTAAAACTATGTTTTAAGACTTCTTAATGTATTTACTGTCAGCCATCATTTGTGGAAGCTTAAAAGGTCTTTTGGAAGAAATGTATGTCAGCTACAATGAGTTGAACAGCATAAATTAATGTTTGCAAAAAGAAGTGCCCATGGAATTGGATCTCAGTTATTGTTATAGGAATGGCTTACTTGTGAGTCAGTAACTGTTGACAGTTATTATGTGTAACATTTACCATCCCCCTTTAGTTCTGTGGCTATCTGACAACATACCAACACTCCAGCCTTTGCCACTGAAGTTCCGTAGATGTCTTGGGGTCCAGTTACAGATCTTATGCTCTAATGGGGTGAGGAGCTTGTTGCCCGTGCCTGATCAGGATCCACAAACTCAGGCCCTTTGTGCCTGATCATTTACTCAGGAGTTGATTTCAGCACAGAAGGTGGCAGCCACAGCTGCCTTTATGTAACCAGGGGAGAAAACAAGAAAGGAGAGGAGCATTTTAATTTTATCTTTGTGCAACTCTTTCCCAGTATGGCTGTTCTGAGAAGCTTGTGGTGTCTTTTGATATTGCTGAAAAGTCTGATCTGGTGCCTACCTTCTATTAGTATGTACTTTACTTACTTTCTGGATGGCAGCAACACTGGAGATAGAGAAATTTGGGCTGACTTTGCCTTGACAACTGTATGCCAGCTCTGATGTATGCACTATAGATGTGCCATTGCTGCCACTAGTTTGTTCCTGTGTTTGCTAGGATGTGATTCGGAGGAGCTGTCATAAAGCAAGGAGCTTGGACTTTGCTCTATGGTGGTCTTCCTCAGCATCCCTGAGTCAGCAGAGAAAAGCGTGTAAGGTCAGGCTCTTGTTCTGAACATCCTTCTGGACCCAAGCGTTCTACATTCACTATCAGGAGGCTCATCAGCCTTTGTGACAGCCAGTATGATTGCCCTTAATTGTTTGGTAATTGGAGCACCTGCTTAGAAAGTATTAGAGCTAGACTGAATATGGTCTGCGTGTTAAAGTTCTCCAATGTGAAAAAGCCATAATTATGCTGTGTGGTTAAAGGAAGAGTGTTCTCCTGTTCTCTTTTTGAGGTTCTTGCATTTTCCAGGCAGGAGTGCAAGACCTGTGCTGCCAAAAGACTGAGCAAGAAAAGTGTTTTTATTTTAATAAAAGATGTTATCTGTGAATCCGTGAGAATAATCTATTAGAAATGATTCCTGTTTTATGGTTCTTGTTGCTACTGTTATTTTTTTGTTCCAAGTGCCAATTAAAAAAACAAGAAGAGAGAGAAATCTAAGTTGAAAAGCTGAGAAGTACGTAGCAAAGTGATGTGTTGTAAAAGAAGTCATTGAGAATGAAAGTTCCTTCTCATTTTTACTGTAGGATTACTGTGATAGCATTGGAATTCTTGGTAATGTAGCTGTTTCTGGCTTTCTTCGGTTTGTTTGGGGAGGGTTTTGGCCTAGGAGAGGTAGGAGCTCATGTAACCTCATTACACAGTTAGAATTATCAATAATAAACCTATCAATTACAGTAACGTTTGTGTTACTGTATGTAGTGAGTCTGTGATGCCTCAAGGTGCACATCCATTACAACAGTGCTCCTTCAGAGAATTGTCTTTGTGGGACTTGTTTTTATTTTGAACTTCTAAATACTGAGATATTAATGACTGCTGGAATCTTCTTAACTTACACGTATAATTTACCAAGGAAATGAAATAGTAGATGAGTTTTACTGGATGTTGCATGCTGCTCAAATGTGGTTGCATAGACCCCATTGGGGGAAGTACAAGCTGACTAATTTACATCAGTTATTGGTAGTAGTGACTGCCTGGGTGATATTGAATGGTAAGCAAATGGATAAAAACAGATTTTTGAAAGATCTTTTGATTCTTTGCAGCCTTTCATGAAGGGTGGGGCTCACTGCACACTGGTTATGAGCCAGGCTTGAAACTAGGGCATTTTGTTTAATCTTAAAACTAGCTAACATTTTCTGCTTCTGTATAGGTGTCAAAGATGGGTAGAGAACTGTCGAAGGGCAGATTTAGAAGATAAAACTCCAGATCAACTCAACAAGCACTACAGACTGTGTGCTAAACATTTTGAGACCTCTATGATATGTAGAAGTGTAAGTAAAACCAAGCATTTGTTTATTGCACCTTGCAGAACGTGATTAAGATTCTTTTTAATCAGATTGCTGCATTTAATCTTTGATCTCCTGGGTAAGGGGTCTCTGGGAAAATTTATCACTTAGTTTTAATTGATGTTGTTGTGGCCCAGGGTACTGCACAGACTTGCAGATGTCTGTACTGGCACAAAGGATGAGGTGGAAGCAAGCAGTTTGGGATAAGAAATGCAGAACCGCTTCTGTTGGCTTAATGATTGTGTTGCTCTGGTCTTCAATGCAGTTCTTTCCTCGTGCAGAACTGTTCATTTTGTTTATTGTCACTATGTGTTACAACATCATTTACATTTATTGGGTGTAAGAATGTATGTTTGCATACCTCTAATTATTTAAAATCATTAATGTGCTGTTACTGTAGTGTATATATGGTGCAGTAAAGTTCAGTTGCACTCAGCTGTGGCCAAGAGATTTAAACATTCTGTGTATATGTCAGGCTTTTGGTTCCTGCTATTTTTTTATCCAGCAAAAATCATGGTACTGTTTCCTGTTAGCATGAAGAATTGAAGGCTATTACTTCACTAACATGATGCTGATTTTTTTAACAGCTTCCTTAACAGTAGAAAATGATAGATTTGTGGCTTTGTACCAACTTTTGATTTCTAAACTGAAATAGATGAAGTTGGTTTTCTTGTTATGTAGAATAATTAAAACATGTAGGTCAGACTATGAATTCCTAGTGGTAGTATACATGACAGGATCTTTGTTTAGCCAGCATCCCAGAAACAAACCAAAAAGTAATTCTGGATCTGCAGTGAAGCTTCATGAAACTCTGTTTGAAATCTTTGGTCCAGTGACATGTACAAACGTGGTCAGTTAAAGGTCTTTTCTTGATGGAAACAGTTCAATTTAGACAATGTATATTTGCATATACTGTGAACTTAAATTTCTATCTAAAACACTTTAACTGCTGGAAACATTTATATGATCATCTAGAAGCCTTCATCTTCTTCATCTGACAGATGTGTTTTCCTTCAGGATGATCAAATTGTTTTCTTTCTGATGCATCAACGTCTGTATGTTCAGAAAATTTATTAAGAAATAATCATAATATTCAAATAACTTAAAATTGCTGCACCAGGGATCTGAGATATGAAGATAAAGGGGAGGAAAAAGTGGTTATACTTATTTTCTTAAACATCTCTTCTCATTTTCAGTCTTCTTTTGACATCCTTGAAAATGGGTATTGCATAGTAGAACTATATGTCTGTTCTGATGCATCAGAAAGTGAACATAATTAACTGGAAAAAAAAATCTTCGTACAAAACCAACAGAAATTCATAGGTGATGCTCCTTGTACACACAAGACAAAACCCACAAAATTTCAGAGGCCATGCTTTGTTTTTGGAGAGGAAAAAAACAGAATTTCAGAGACTACGCTTGCTTCCCAGAGGCAACACTAATCTAGATGTCTTTTTACAGAGCCCTTACAGAACAGTTTTAAGAGATAATGCTGTGCCAACTATATTTGATCTTACAAGTCATCTGAACAATCCCCACAGCAGGCATAGAAAACGGATAAAAGAGCTGGTAAGTTTGTAAAATAAGTTTGATTTGGCTTTGCTTTAATGTTAGTACTATGAAAACAAGTTCATGTGAAAATTTTATGTGGAATGTCTAATAATGATTAGCACTTTGGTGTTTTCAGTTTCTATACTGCTATTTGAGTATAATATTATTGATTATAAGTTAAAACGTAAATGTTACACTGAAGTTTTATCTACCAAGAGAAGTTTAATGGGATCATCTGGAAAATGAGAGCTGATTGTGTCTTCTAAGGGAAGTGTATTGCTTCCTCTTATTTGTTATTGCAGTGCTAACTGAAAAACACCTTACAGCTGCAACCCTGCAAATCTTGCTCTGTGTTGACTGTTTATTTGAGTCACTTCTGCAGTTTAGACATCCTTCAGAGCTCTACAAATACAATCCATGTGTAAAAGCAAGATCAGGCAATTTCTTGTGGAACTGTAACTTGTCAGTGGCTCTTTTGGGACACTTTGTGTCTTTAGGTTTCTGTGAATTTCAGTATACTGAAAATTAAGATGAATTTAACTCCTAAACTGTGTTTATACATCAGAGTAGTACAGACAGTTTCTAGATGCATTTGATAAGTGTTTATTAACTAAAACTTAGAAAATAATTGAAGGCTACTGCTATTAGTACATGTTTGTAGTAGAATGGAATTCTTTAATGTAATTGATTTACTCATAATTGTAAAATGCAGATTGAACAATCTCCTGATGTATGTATGGGAACCTTAGCAGTAATAGCAAACCATTCTTCTGCAATTAGTAGATATGTGTTGTGACAGCAATAAACTACCTGAAGAACCTCCTTCTCTTAGACCTTCTAGCACGTTTTTGGTAGGTATTAACACTCTGAAAATGGTCTCATCTGCAATATTTGCATCTGAACTTGATATATTTCAGTATTTTAAAGGGGTCATGTGGTAGACAATAACATCAATATATCTTTTTTTTTTTTTTTTTAAGAGTGAAGATGAAATAAGAACACTGAAACAGCAAAAGAGTAAGTAGGCAATGAGTTCATAAAAACTTTGTTTACTAAGGCTGATTAGGAACTGTAGGGCACATAACTGTAAATTTATTTATTTGTTCAGGAGGATAATTTAGTTGCTGCTTGATTCAGATAGTTCATCTAAGCTCATTCCAATGTAGTCAGTCACTTTAAAACTGGAAATATTCTTCTCTTGATTCCAGTAACTTAAAGGTAACAGGGATAGTAGGGGGAAAGCATGTGTTATGTTTTAGTTGTCTTAACACTTACAATATTTTGTATTTTGTAGTTAATGAAGCTTTTGAACGGGAACAGGCAACTCAAGAACTAAATGAAAGTAATGCACAAAATGCAGTCTCAGAGGAAGGTGGGGAGCAGCAAGAGGAAAAATCTGTTCCTTTAACTCTGGAAGAAAGAGAAAACAAGGATTACCTTAAGTCACTGTTTGAAATTCTGATCCTAATGGGTAAACAAAATATTCCGTTGGATAGCCATAATGCGGATGAGCTTCCAGAAGGTATTTTTACTTCAGATAACTTTCAGGCTCTGTTGGAATATAGAATCAATGCTGGAGATGAAGTTCTGAGGAAACGGTTTGAAATGACTGCAGTCAATCTTGAGTATTGTTCGAAAACGCAGCAGAAACAAATGCTTGAGATCTGTGAAAGCTGCATCAGAGAAGAAACACTGAGGGAAGTAAGAGACTCACACTTCTTTTCTATTGTCACTGATGAAGTAGTAGACATAGCGGGAGAGGAACATTTGCCAGTCTTGGTGAGATTTGTTGATGATTCTCATAATCTAAGAGAAGAATTCATAGGATTTTTACCTTATGAGGCTGATCCTGAAATATTAGCTGTTAAGTTCCATACAACTATTACTGAAAAATGGGGTCTGAACATGGAATACTGTCGGGGTCAAGCCTACATCGTCTCCAGTGGGTTTGCTTCTAAAATGAAAGTTGTGGCTACAAGACTCTTGGAGAAGTATCCACAAGCTGTGTATACTCTGTGTTCCTCTTGTGCCTTAAATGTGTGGTTGGCAAAGTCGGTTCCTGTTGTTGGTGTTTCCATGGCCCTAGGAACGATCGAAGAAGTTCGCTGTCTTTTTAGTCGATCTCCACAATTACTGGTGGAACTGGACAATGCAATTTCTGCTCTTTTTCAGAACAATGAGGAGAAAGGTAATGAGCTGAAGGAGATCTGTCGTTCTCAGTGGACAGGCAGGCATGATACTTTTGAGGTTTTGGTGGATCTCATGCAAGCTTTGGTACTGTGTTTGGACGCGGTAAGCAACGATTCCACTGTCAGGTGGAACAACTTCATTGCTGGTCGAGCATTTGTACTTTCAAGTGCATTAACAGATTTTGACTTCATTGTCACTATCGTAATTCTGAAAAACGTGCTGTCTTTTACAAGAGCATTTGGAAAAAATCTCCAGGGACAAACATCAGATGTGTTCTTTGCAGCTAGCAGCTTAACAGCAGTGTTGCATTCTCTGAACGAAGTGATGGAGAATATTGAAGTTTATCATGAATTTTGGTTTGAGGAAGCAACAAACTTGGCTGCAAAACTGGATGTACAAATTAAACTCCCTGGAAAATTCCGCAGGTCTCAACAGGGTAACTTCGACGCTGAGTTAACGTCAGAAAATTACTACAAAGAAATTCTTAGTGTCCCTACAGTGGAACATATAATTCAAGAATTAAAAGATATATTCTCAGAACAACATTTAAAAGCTCTGAAGTGTTTATCTTTAGTGCCCTCAGTCATGGGTCAGCTCAAATTCAATACATCTGAGGAGCATCACGCTGACATGTACAAAAATGACTTACCTAATCCGGACACGCTTTCTGCTGAGCTTCATTGTTGGAGAATCAAGTGGAAGCACAGAGGAAAAGATATTGAACTTCCAGCTACTATTTATGAAGCACTTCACTTGCCAGACATAAAGTATTTCCCTAATGTATATGCATTGCTTAAAGTATTGTGCATTCTTCCGGTGATGAAAGTGGAGAATGAAAAATATGAAATAGGACGAAAGCGCTTAAAGGCATACCTGAAAAACACCGTGACAGAGCAAAGGTCAAGCAACCTAGCTTTGCTGAACATAAACATTGATATAAAACATGACTTAGACTTAATGGTGGACACCTACATTAAACTCTATCCAGGTAAAGTGGAATTTCAAGCAGACTTTCTTCCCTCGAACAATTCTGAAGTAACAGAAAGCTCTTAATTTTTTTTTAAGCTCTTACCAGTCTGATTAAACAGCTTTTTGCTAGTTAACTTGCAATGAGGGGGAAAAAAAAAGACTTGGAAATCTGAAATAAATAAATAATCACCACAATTGTATTTCCATTTTAGGTCTCAGATTTAAGAAACTGTGGTCAATAACCCATGTTATGTTTTGTTAGTCTGTATTAAATATACTATGTGAACAAAAACAAGTCTGAAAATAAGCCCATGCCCTTTGCAGAGGTGCTTTCTGTATCTGATTGACTTAACTGGGTGCTTGCTTGCTGCATCTTGGAAAAAGTACGTTGTGATGATTGTAGATCTGATGAGGCTGTTACAGTATTTGCTCATGAAATAGGTTAAGAAAAAACTGAAAGTGTTGAAAAGGGTATAATCCATTTCTGTTCTGTTACTTAGAATTTGACTTCACGCTTTTTGAATTTGTCTTTAACTGATGCCCATTCAGTTGGCATTTTGGAGAATGAATTCAGCAGTTGCACAGGCCTCATGCTGTGGATTGTTCCTGGTGTAAAGTGAATGTTCGTGGTACAGAGATACATTTAAGGTTTCACTGGAAGAGTCAACCTCTTTAATCTCTTGACTGTTTACATTCCTTTGTGTGAGACACACAACTTTAGGCTTTTAACAAGCATGGAAGGAGTACTGAAATTCTCTAAGGACACTAAAAAAAAAAATAAGGTTTATTCCAGAACAACTTAAGTCTGTTTGACAAAAAAAAAAAAAGTGAATCTTATTGTCTGTTTACTTGTGAACTCACCCAAGAAAGATTAAAATAAGAGTTTGTTGTTTGTCTAGAAGTAAGATTGAAAATATTACTGTTATTTTTGGCAAGAATAAAACATTTTTGTACAGTTTATTGCGATTTAAAATAAAATGTGAATTGCTTTTTACACAGTATTGAATTTATTAGTAAAGCGGTGCCTCTTTGAGAATGTATATACTTTTGTAAGGTACCTTTTAGTTTGGTTGTGTTTGTTTTGTTTTGTGATCCTAGTGAGTAACCTTGTCTTAAGACACAGAAAGAACTGTGTAGTAATGCATGATCTGTATGTTTTGCTGAAGGTTTTCTGAAGTTTTGAAATAATTTTAAACACAGCATTCTTAATTGTGGAAGTTTTGTCTAACTGAAGCAGTGACAGGTGGAAATAGCTTTAACTTGAATGGCTGAAAAGTTTTGTAGCTATCCCGATGTATGCCAGTTTTTTAACTTACAATTGTGCTTCTATGTATTTTCTTTCCAGTGGAGGAAAATTCCAGCAACAGAAAATTGAATGACTGTAGAGACGGTGATAAATACAACTCCCAGTGTGACCACAGGCAAACAATAAGAATAAATTTGGAAAAAAAACAAACCCTACAGCTCTTTAGTTCTAGTAAACCTAGTTATTAAAATGGTTATGTACATCTTAAATGTTTTCAGGAGCTTTTATTTACATTGGTGTAGTTAAGAATTACTTTTAAAAAGTGTTATCATTTCTTTTGCTGCTATTTCTATCTGATATCTGGCATACTTTCCTGTTCATGCAGTTGTCTCAGCCAGGAAATGTAATAGCCAGTAGTAGCTTGTTCTTTTTCTGAAAAGGATATATGGGAAAAAAAAAAAGTTAGAATTCAGACAGAAAATCTTTGTTTAAGAACATCTGAATCTTAATAATGGGGGGAAAAGAAAGGATGAGGGTTAGGGGGAAAACGCTTTTCTATCCTGGGAATGTTTGTCACTTCTAGTAAATACAGCGATGTGTGGTGAGTGTTGTACCAGTCTTCTATCAGGAATTCAGGAATACTTTAAGAACAAATAAAAAAAGGTGCAGCAAAGTGGCTTATTCCAATTGTTGGAATCCTTACTGCACAGCAGACTGGTTGAACTCCCTGAGTCTTTTGAGAGCAGGCAAGGTTTAATGCCTTGTGAAGCAAATTAGTTCCACCTAACTTCGGTTTCTGAGCTGTAATAATTGCTGCGGGCTCATTTGCTATCTAAAGAAGCTGTCTAGGTACATCAGAGGGCTGCTACTGTTTGTCTTCATTTCTGATGAGACAGAGACCACAAAAATTGCACTTCAGCTGGTAAGATTTGTTGCTTGAGTATAGGCAACATGCTCATAGTCAGACAAGGAAAACTGATCCCCAGTTCCATGTGATTGACCAAAAGTGCTGAAGACTCTTTCTGATTATGTAAATAGAATCTTTTTGGCTGATGTACAGAGACAAATGGAAGAAGAGAAACGCAGTAAAACACCCCGTTAGCTACTAAAGTGTCTTTTGGAGCCAAACTGTGACTAGCTTTGCTAATTAGCTGGTTCCAAGTGCCTTCATTGCTTGCTGTGCTTGATCATCACATTGCCTTTCACAGCAATATCTAGATTGTAATCAATCAAAAGCTCCCTACTAAGGCTATTTGAATTGTTCCTTTGCTGCAGAATACCTTGCTTCTTTTTGGTGTCGGCACATCACTTGAGAACCTGCAGCAGGAAGTCTGAATGGTGGCTTTGCAATATCTATAGGAGCAAAGAAATAGCAGGTGGTAATGGTAGGTAGCCCTCTGACTTAAGAGGACTGTGTGGAAGAAACCATTTCCTGAAAATATAGTGGCTTCCATCTGCTGGAGGTGCAGATGGGAGACAGCTGAAGGAGAATCCAATGATACAATATCAAAGGGAGTATTGCTGCTTGAGCAGGCCAGAGTTTGATAGAGAAGTAACTGAAACTGAGACAAATACTGAGGATAAACTTTGGTTCCATTTTTTAACAGATTTTTGAGACAGAGGGAATTGTCATCTTAAATATCCTTTCAGTACAGGACAGTGTGTGTTCCCAAGGTGCAACTGAGGTATTTAGGTATTTCCCTGGCTTTGACCTGGCTTTTTGGAGTACTCTATGTGACAAAGCAATATGTTTTCCCCAGTTGATGGTATTTTGTGTAAATAGGGCTTGTGTTAAGCGTATACAAACTCTTCTCCCATGCACAAAGTTTTTGTTAGAATGCTCTCTTGCTCCTTTCAGAAGTAGCATGTAGCTTTCTATCTCCTGTAGTGCTTTTTCTGTCTGGCTATAGAAATGTTTTAACTGCTTGTCTGGCTGCCAAAGTTCTGCTGTAAAGAAGTAGAGGACCAGAACCACTTAATGACTCTGGGTGCAGCTATCATGTTCCCCATGCACTCTGTTTATGTGAAACACTGCAAATCTCGGTGTTGCCAGAAACATCCAAATTAATCTGAAAGGATGAAAATAAATCTCTTTACTGGATCTGTTCCAGGCAGCAGTTCCTAATATAGAATAACAATAGGTGTTATCCCAAAGTAGGCTTAATATTCAATAATTTCCAGACCTCTAGAGCTCCCTTGTTTCCCTAAGGGAAAAAAAAAAAAAAATCTTACGAAGAATCATTTTCTACCCACTATTTCACATATGTGTAAGCAGTGAGGCATCAGCAAAAAATAGAATTGGGAATTGTAGACAATTCTACAGCAGTTTCAAAATACGTGTGTGCTTATTATACGCTGCCCTTACTTTGCAAAATTGTGTTAATTGTGTTCCATAACACTGTAATTGTACACTTTGTTATTGCCATATATATATATATATATTTCTATTTATTTTCATGTAGCAAAGCAATCTTTTCATAAAACCTTACTTCTGTGTCTTCTGTTTTAGCTTGCATTATAGATACCCCTGGGAGTGTCTTTGAAGGCAAGGCAGGTACTAGTACAATTTATTCAGTGATGTTGAGGATCAGGAGCAGTGCCCTGGTGACAGAACAGGACCTTTGCAGTTCCCTACTCCTCTGTTTTGCAGTGTCCTAAAGTTAGACATCATCAAGGAAACAGTCTTTGTGACAGCCCAGGTAATCTTCCTGTAAATGTCGATGCTTTTGTGTTGCAGTGGCTGAAGTTTCTTGTAGGTTAATTCTGGCAACTAAGAGACTTCAGTTTCTACCGTCAACAGGATGTGGTGTTTGAGGAGAAGAACTGAATGCCAGCGACTTGCTGTTTTGTCTCCTTTTATCCCTTTCATCTCTAGAACAGGGGAATTTCAAGCTTTGTGGCTGGTTCCTAGTGAAGCAGCAAGACGCTTCTGTACAATGTATAGAAATATCTGGTATTTATTGTGCCAATCCTGAAGAAGCAGATGGAAATTTCTTGACCATTCTTTCATTCAATCCTTAGATTCACTAAAGCAGAGGGCATCCTTAGTGCCCACCATCACAGGAAATGCCTGCTCCTCCTGAATGCAATGCTGCCAGATGTGGAAAAAGCTGTGAATAACCTGCAGCAGTGATGCTAGTCATCCCAACAAAGGCAATGAAGACTTCTGAGCTCTTTCCTGAAGTTTGAGAGATGGAGGTTGGCTGCTTCTTGTTGTATAGTTGACTGGAGCAAGGACAATTTACCAATACTGCAGATGGAGAACAGTTTTGCTCATGTCTTAAGGATTCTTGGAACAGTTGCTCACCACCTGCTTCATAGCAGCCTTTGGAGTTGGAGTATTTAGTGAAGTATCTTTCATGGCAGGTCCAGCAAGCACTGGATAAGTGAGGGTAGACAGTAATGATGACTCTATCATACCTGTGATCCTATGAAAGTACTACAAAGTGAAAATAAGAGGATATCATACACGAGCTGCACTGCAGGGTAGCTAGGACTCCACCTGCAATCTCAGGTCCTCAGTCCACTTCCAAGGGAATGTTATCATTGTCCTTAGAGCAGGCTACAAAGGGATGGTACTTGCAAGTGCATGGTGCTTCTCAGCAGAAGCCGGCCAGTTCCTAACTCTCTGCTTGTCCATACTGTACTTTTTTTGTGTGTGTATGTTTTGTTTTTTTTTTCCCCACAGATAAGAATGGGTGGCACCAATACAAGGTCAGCTGTATCTTACTGTGAGTCTTAATCTCCGCTTTTCCACAGCACAACTTCATTGCCTGGCGAAGACACATTTGGTGGAGTATGCTCCTTGTAATGCATGACTCGTTCAAATTTTTATACTGCATCCCTCAACTCTGGCATCCAGATGCTTGTTGATAGTTCCTGGATATATCCTACACCTCTTTAGATCAATTGTCTGAAGGTGCATTTCTTCTGCTTAACTTCTGTTATGTTGGCTGTGTCTTTTTGGGAAGGGCTGGTTTCCACTTCAGGATCTCATCAATTGCTAGAGCTTTTCTCTAAGTGATCAACATTGACCAACGGATTGACCTATGTGGTAGGATGCTGAGTTTAGCAATGGGGAGTGGGGAAGAAGCCAGGTTTGGGAAACAGGACAGTATGCAACTTGTCTTGAGGTTCCAGGCAGAACTAATTCATTATCTTTTCTTTCACAGTCGCATCTGGTGGAAAAAGGCTGGCTTTGGCTGCTTGGAGCCTGATTGCAGTGCTCACCAGATCCTGAAGCAGATGATTGCCTAGCAAAGCTCTATTGAGGAGAATTAAAAAAGAGCTCTTGGATAAAGTGGGCGGGCCTGTGGGACTTCCCTAGGGAGACCTGGGAATAAGAAAGATTGGAGTATGAGTTTGCTGAACCTCTTCTTTGGTGGTTATTTGGTCAAACTCCCAGTCTGGAGCCTCTCAGACAGCAACAGAGGCAGTGAGTAACATAGTATGGGTGGGAACATATCGCAAGGATGAAAAGGGAGAAGCCACTTTTGCAAGATCCTCTTGCATCCTGCCAGGCAAATGTACTTGCATACATCCTTAGTGCTTTCATTTTTCTTTATGCCATCTTTACATTTATCACATTTGGGAGACAGAGATGGCAAATAGTAACTACTTACTGAGAGCTCTGCTTTGTGTCTCCAAGGATTTGGTTGTTTGTTTTTGTTTGTTTGTTTGTTTTATGGCTTTTACAGCTTTCTCTCTTCTCTCCCTAAACCTGGAAGAACAGTAAGGCACAATTCCCCCTGACCCAGGATGCCTGAATAGCAGTTGCATGAGCAACCACAGAAGACTGTGTCTGCAGGGAATAAAGAATGAGAAAGGGGCCACAGCTAAACAGACAGTGCCTTCAGGAAAGAGAAGCTACTTGGGAAACAATCTGCAGTCCTTCTGGAAAGAAAATTCCCTAGCTTAAAGGGAGATGGACTGGTGATGCTGGTGGTTGTGATGCTAATGATGGAGGAAGGATGTTGGTGAGCTACTGGGAAGGAGGGAGCATCGGTTTGGAGAGTGTGGAGAACACAAGAAGGTTTGTGAAATTCTTGAGAGAGGGCATGGGTTGGTTGGTGAGCATTGCTGTGAGCCTGTGTGCATTCTGGAAGTAAGCACAGATGGTTTTTTGGACCTCTCCATCCCCATCCGCCAGCCTGCAGATCAGAACTGGGCTGGAGGGCTTTGAACTGCTGACACAAAGTATGTTGGAGGCAGGATGATGATGCTGGAGAAGTTAAACCCGTGTCTGTCCCTGTGGACCCACCATTGTGCA